ACACTTAGTTTTCAAAAAGTACACAATATATTTTAATCTACATTTGAAATATACTTACATTTGGTTCCTCCAGACTTGCACAAATATCCTTGGGGTTAGGCATTTCAGAAGAATTCCATCGACGTATCCTTGGGAGGTCAGCCTCCTCTACATTGTNAAATATCCTTGGAGTTAGGCATTTCAGAAGAATTCCATCGACGTATCTTTTGGAGGTTAGCCACCTCTAAAATGTCAGCATATCTCTGTCCAATAGATGGTATGGCTTCATAAGCCCAAATCTTCATAAGATTCAAAATATTACAATCTAAATAGAATGAATAATAAATTAATTTTAAAAGCATTACCTGCAACGCGAGTGAAAATCCATAAACTGAATATAGATATTTCTCATTATTTATCAAGTATGACTTTACCAAAAACCTCAAGTTTCTCAAGAATACATCAATTGTGAGGGCAAAAACATTTCTCCCCCAAGGATAACTATTAAAAGCCTATAAGTCATCACCTATTAACAAGTGTTCTAAATTTATGTATGTGTAGTTTTCTTTGGACAGTAATACCGTTTTCAACATATGTAAAAGCTCAATCTTGTACTTGTTTTCCATGCACACCTTGCAATTTTCAATAGCTTTCTTCAAAATGGTAAACCATTATGTATTTCTTACACTTTTTAAAGTGTTTCTTTACCAGTTGATCATTATTTACAATATGTGGCTTCAATGAAGGCTCTTCACTAGCTCTCAACCTCATTAACAATGTGTATTCGTATAATGAAAATTTTGTTGGCTTACCACCAATTGAAAACCAGATCTCACTTTGTTTTTTGGTTACAATCATCCTCATTACAAGCTGGTAGACTAGTTGGACTGAAAGAGGTATACGCTTCATTTGATATATTTATCCAAAACGAAATTCCATGAGCATGTCTTGGTGAATATCATCTAACATCTCTCGAAAATAGTCAAGTTTTTTAATGGAGCACTTCTGTGAAGGTCTACCTTTAATTCTATCTTCAGCAGGAATCACAAACTCAAATGAATGTTCCATTTCTACATTAATGAATTTACAATAATGTTAAGTGATACTAATTACAATTCATTTTCAAAAATAGATAAATGGCAATGTGACATTTTCAGAATTTCATAAATGACAAGGTGCCATTTTCAAACTAGATAAACTTTAGGGTGCCATACTGAAAGATTCAGCAACTAACGTATCAATTATCACAAGCTCAACCAAGTAAATGTAATTTTCATCATGGAAAAACATGTAAAATACTATCATATATTAGTGACTATAAAAAATCACGGTCTTTTATTACTCTATCATATTCCATTTCATGCAAACCTCTTGAATCCAACACATCTCACTAGAGAAAGCCATATTATAAGAGAAAAAATAATTCATCCATGTCTCAGTGACAAGCAAATACCACAATACAATATAAGTGTTCATCAAAGAATCGTTAAGAAAAAGTATTTCGTGGAACTTTAAGAAAAGAATAAGTTCAAAATCTCGTATCTTATATCTGTGCATAATCAGCAAAGTTCAAAACCTTAAAGAATACATTTGGTTAAATAACACAAAATAGTGCCAATTTGCTAAGACCTTTATTCCATACAACGATTTCTGCTCTTTGCATTTGGAAGTATTAAATGTACGATTTAAAGAAACAACAAGATATCACCACATAAATAAAATTTGGAGCTCCAAAGAAAATCATGAGGATCAATTGGAGTGATTAACTAGTGACAAATAGTATATCAATATTCAATTATTCAATAGAATGGTAAACTTTCCAAAACTACTATTCTCTCCCCATTTAAACCATTTTCCTTTGTTTTTTATCATATATATTCTATCAAATTTGGAAAATGGATGAAACACTCATACTCAACTTCCCCTTTCGCTCAAGAAGATGAATGCAAGTGAGTTTCGATTGCAGAAGGTTGGGGATAAGAAGCCGAGAAGAGAAGAAGAAGGAGGAGGAGGATTTGTGGATGAAGACGGAAAGAGGAAAATAGATTTAGTTTAGGGTTTTGGATTTAATCGATTTGAGCAAAGGAGGAATTGAGATTTTAGTGAATTTGAATAAGGGTGTATTAGGTAGTTTATAAATTATAATTTAAAATATTTATTTTAAAAATATTATTTTGGTCAAAGCTTAAAATCCAGTGTATTATGAAATATGTTATTTGACCCAATTACCACAAAAGGTATTTGTCTTTTGTACAGTTTTTTTCCCCCGATTTTATGTGTGTGTGTGTGATTTTTTATTTTTTTTACGTATTAGCTAATTTTTTAGTCTAATTTTGGATCCGTCTCAGCTTACTCTCAACTAAGTTTAGTATTCAAAATTTTGAAATGAAGATACGCTTTTAATGAAATCCGCACAACAATTTCATGAAAATTTATATCGTTATTCACAATGCTTGTGCAACTATATTGAAAGGCGAGAGATTAATTTGATATTTTTTAAAGGTAGATGATTAACTTATCACTGCAGAAATAGGTGATGGTGTAAGTATCCACAAAAAGTTTATATTCATTTCCCTTTTTTTTTTTAATTCTAAGATTTATCAGCAGTGTGTAAATCTTCACTAATCTTATAGGTAATCTACGAAAACGACTCTTAGTTGAATTTAACAACTCCAGTTTGAAAAATTGAACATATAATTGCCAATATATATATATATATAAAAGTAGGAGTAAGTCAAAGAAACCTCTCACGGGATTCATGAAAAATACGGAGATACTCCAACGAGGTTCATGACAAATAAAGATATGCTATTTTTCATTAAATTTTTTTTATTTCAAACATGTTTTCAAATATGCTATTTTTTCTTAATTAAAAAAAAGTTACTTTTGAAATAAGCAACTTATTTATATATATCAAATTCATGCTACACTGCAAGAAGAAGATGATGATATTATCCATTGCCAATAGGACTCGGGCCGCTTGGAACTTCATGTGCAGTTGCCTGAAATTCTCGGTTTGTACTCCTCGCCGTTGTGTTACCACCAGCCGCAGGAGGAGGACGAGTTGTGCTATTGGGTGGAGAAGTGGTTGCTCCGCTGTGGAATTTGGTGGTGGATTGATTTACCACTCTTCCCTGTGATGCTAAAGAAACTTCCAATATCGCCTGAGAGTTGATGCGGCGAGCAGAAAGGGGAACGATAAAGAGAAGGAAAAGAAAGAGCGACGTAGCTTGAGATTTTGTGCAGGTTTCTGCCATGAAAATGTAACCAAGAAAATCCAGTAGTACCCCCAGTAAATCTCTAGAAATTCAGAAGGACGCTCACATACAGCTGAATAATGACACAATTAATCCAATATAAATAGGGCTTCATTAGTATAATCGAAACAAAAATCGATAGTATATGACGTATAGTTTAATATAACACGGTACTTCAACTAGTTATAATCTATAAATAGAACTTCCTACGAAGTACAAACTCTCCCGTTACACTCAATTCCCGAATAATACAAGTTCCAGCAATTTTGATCGGTCTCTTGATTTCAAATTTTATAATTGAAACAAAAAATTATTATCTATTAACTTAGTAAAACGCCATACTTCCACTAATTATAAATACAACTTCCTACAAGAGACGTACTAACATTCTTTCTTTCATCATTCGATATAAACTCTATGTTCAAAATCAAAATTTATGATCTTTCAGCTTAGTACAACACGTTACGTCCACTTACGAACTATAAATACAACTTTCTATGAACACCCCAATTACACTCAATTTCCATATGAAATACCTATTTCAACGTTCTTAATTATATCTTTTGATGTGAATTCTATAACCGAAACAAAATTCTATCATCTATGAGCTTAGTATAACTAGTGATGGCAACGGGGCGGGGCCTGCCCCATTTGTTAGTTTTTTTTTTTTTTTATTTCCGGTTAAGATAAAATTCAAAATTTTAAAATTCAAAGTAAATAATGTTCAAACTAA